ATCAGTGGCCTTCTCACCCGATGGCCGGCTGCTGGCGTCCGGTTCTGACGACGAGACGGTGCGGCTCTGGGACCCGGCAACGGGCGCCCTACAACAGACCCTGGAGGGCCATTCGGGCAGCTCGATTCGATTAGTGGCCTTCTCACCCGACAGTCGGCTGCTGGCGTCCAGCTCTGACGACCAGATAGTGCTGCTCTGGGACCCGGCAACGGGCGCATTGGAAGACGTTTTAGTTACTGATGAGATTGTCACGGAACTCGAATTTTCCCAATATGGCTCATACCTCTGTACTAACCTAGGATCGTTCAAGATTCAATCCAGGTGTAGCAAACCTATCCTCAATTCACCCGATACGCATCCAGCGATATATCTACAGTGTGACTGGATAGGGTTGAACGGGAAACAAGTACTGTGGCTCCCCCCTGAGGCCAGGCCTTCGTGTTCCGCGTCTAAATCGAATACACTTGCCTTGGGACATGCCTCAGGCCGGGTTTCCTTTATAAGATATCGGAAATAATAGAGTTCAATCAATTTTCTTTTTTACTGTAGCTGTACCTTATATGTTTTCTAATCTCTCTACAATAGGAGGGTCTGGGAAAAAGCATAATTTATTCGGACATGCTTCTTTCTTAGAACATGCTACTTGACTCCCCTAGATTCCAATACCGTGGCAAATCCATAGTCCAGTCGCCACCGTTCTGCCTGCTAAGCCAAGACGCATCCCAACACATCTCAAAACCCAGTAACCATCTATTTGGTCATCACTGGCCATATCATACTCCGACAATCGGACAATTTTCAGCAGAGAATTATAACTTCTAGACTTTGTTGATGAGCCACTGCCAAGCTTTTGCGAGGATTGCATAGGCCTTGGACTAGATTGATCCCTCAGCATTAAGGATCTGCACATTGTCACACTGCTTTGGATCAATGTATGCTCTGGCGCGAGGTTCAGCGGGACTACCACATCTGGATTAGGAAATGCCGGGAAACATATCCGATAAGCCATTCGCCTAGTCGTATCGTATTTTTGGCACCTGGCGACTGACTGTAGGGGTTGAAAAGGCCCACAACTCTATTAAATTACATACCAGGTCGCGCCACAGTTAGGGTCATTGGTAATTTACTCCCATATACGTATCCTATTATACTAAGACAACTCGCACCCGCCAAGGGTAATATACCTTTGTAAATAATGTAAACCCACAAAGTGGGGTCTTTAACAATCAGAGAAACATTGCTGTGTAACTTACAGGCTGCTATGTAAGGTAATTAAACAAACTTTAGTTTCTACTTGCCTGTTATTTATGTTATTTATACGGTCACCACTCCGGCAGCTCTACCTGGAAGGCTGATCGAGCACATCCCCATGAAGCAAGAGAGCCTTACGGGTGGATCTTCGGATCAGCCAGTAATTATTACCAAGCCCATCATTTTTACACATCCTAGAAAAGTACTAAAATGCATGATGTCACATGAATATGAGATGAAAAAAATTCATTTACATTAATCCATTGTGAAGATGGATACTATAGCTAGTACATCACGTGAGATCACAGATCAGCCTGAAGCATTACACTTGGGGGAATCATAGCCCAGACTGACTACACCATACTGTCGTCGTTCAGCTCGAGGTTATCTTTTTTAGGTGGAACCAAACCACCTCAAAGCAACTGTCCATTTTTCACTATTGCAGCCACTCTGTTGGAAAAACAGTGGGAAGTCACTTGCCAAACCCTAATGACCAGTTGTTTATTCTGTAATTCCAGTGCCTTGAATTCTATACTGTAAATAGGATGTCAGGTCTATAACTACTATTGACATCATGTATTGCTTAATTAAATGTATTTTTAATTGACTTGAATGTCCTCAGCTTTGCTCTATTTTCGTAGTATACTGGTTCAAAGAAAATCTAACAGATCCTATGTCATATTTGGAACTTAGTTCATCTACTCCTATAGTTGTAGGTATCTTTAGAAATCCCTTTGTTCTGCAGGGAATTATAACTCAGAGCTCTGGCGTGACCATGCTTTAGTGCGCCGTTTACCCTCAGGGCTTGAAGTATCTTCCCCTTCACGCTGCTGTCTTTTCCCGGTCTTAACATCAAATGAACAAACATAGTCCCTGAAGCCAAAATTTGGTGGATTTTTGTGCTCGAAATCGGTGTACACAAGGATCAGGGGTACCTGATGGATGTGTTGTATAACGTCATCTGAGTGAATCAACCCACTGTTAATATCAGCGAAGTAATGGTCATTCGAAATTGGATCCATGAAGTCTCGGAGGTGTTCATCTAAGTTTGGGTGGTTGAGTTGGAATTTGCAATACTGTCGTGTTTTAAAGAAGTAAAACACTGCTAAAGACGAGTCATGACAGCGGTTCCAAGTGGTTAAGATCTCATCTGCGCCACGGTGGTGAGTCATGAAAGTCCGCTGCCCCAATGGAGCAATGCAGGCGTCATCCTCGAAGCCGGCCGCTAGTGGAGGTCTTAGAACCAGTGCCAGCGAGGTTTCCTCCTGATGTACCGGAGAAGGTAATTCCGCTTCCAATTGATTTGGCGGCAGTGCACCTGGGTTAGGTGGCGTTCCTGGAGGGTGGGGTTCAAGTGAAACTGGTGATAGAGACTCAGGTGTGAGGCTGCGACAGGATTCTTGTTGAACCAGTGATACTGGTTCATGCGAAAGACCAGGATTGTCCCTGGTTGGGCTTGCATGCGGCTCTGTTGCTGTATCCAACCATGGTGCCTTTATTCCTGCCGGAAACAGATGTCGGCCAAAGAAGGAAAATATTATGTCACGCAGAATAGCAAATGACGATGGGTGTTCCCCTGAAATTTGGGTCGGGCTATAAACATGGGGAACAAACAAGAATTGCCGGTTTTTCTGGTATGTTGTCCATGACGGGAGCCCACAACGTTTTTGGACTACCGGTAATTGCCCATTCCCTTCAAAGCTGAGAGATGGCATGGCAGGTGACTTGGACGTTTTGTCCATTGGCAGTTTCAGTATATCGACAATCTTCTCAGGTGCCTTGTCAAGCCAATGTCGGGGGTAATCATAGCGTTCCGCAGGCCGTCGACCAGTAAGGAAGGCCCGAGCGCTAGATTTCGCGGACCTCTTTTTACAGAGCGAGCGAATCTGGGGAGAGTCAAACCCCAATGTTTGTGCTAGTATAGCAAGTTCATGGCTTGACTCTTGCCGTGTTTCCCGGTATATATGATTCTCATCGCAGAACTCTTTCTGACGGCCAGGGAGGGTTGCACTGGTAAGATTTTCAATGTAGCGCATTGCAAAGAGCCATAATTGTACATATGCCACAGCGCATATGCTCCCATCGCACGCGAGTGAGGAGGAATCAAGGTCAGCGGTGAAGGTTTCAGCCACGGTCTCTGACACTTGAATAGTCCAGGCAGCCTCATGGGTCTCAAGCCTGCGCATCAGAGCGTCTCTCAAGTCAAGAAATGCCGGGGGGACAAGCTGTCGCAATGCTTTGGCACAGGGCTGTATAAATAGTGTGTCCTGTACCAGCGAGTGCAGGCTCAATATCCTGCCCTTTGTTTCCAGAAGACGTTGTAGGACGCTTTTTCGAATATTTTCATCGCCAAGGGAAGGAAAGAGTGTACCATTGTCCATTAAGGATTCTATAAGCTGCTTGTCAGCAGTGGATTCTGGCATTAAGTTTTCTACGAGGCGGACCGAGTTGACGTCAACATGGATGGATTCTTCTTCAAATGCGGTCGACCAAATACCATAGATTGAATTGAGGTAGTTGCAAATCTCCTGAATGTGGTAAGTTGCTATTACTTCTACCAGTTGATGCGCCCTTACCATTGGACAAGCACATTCGACCAGCCGCCTGGGGAATGCGAAAGAGATATCGGCCCAGAGACCTGGGAATGGCGTTAAACGGTCGAGAGCCCGCATGATTCGGGGATACCTGTCATCCAGCCTCTCCAGATCTTCTCGCCCTCGACTGGGTGCCTTGGATTTCCAGTATTCAATATCTTCTTCTCCATAATGTGACTTACTATGCCGCAAGTTGCGTATAATATCGCCTGCATCCATACTGTCATCCTTGAATGCACGAAGGCGACGTATCAAATATTCGGGAAGATCTGTGCTGTTTAGAATCAAGTTCAACTTCTCAAACATGGTGCCCTGTTAGAAACGTACCATCACTGTAAAGATATACCGGCCACCAGCGATCCCCGGGATATAAAAGGTCGTTTGCGGCCTGTACACGGTGCTTCCCATATAAACAATCCAACTGACAGCCATCCGGTAATGATAAGAGAGGGGGGTCAGAAATTAACATGAGGTCTTCCGGAGATAGACCTGATTGAACAACAGCTTGCTGTAACAGCTCATCACTTATTATGCCGGAAAGGTAGTGCCTTGGTTCTAGCCGTGCCAGTTGGTTTTGTTTGAATTTCTCCTCTAACTTGCGGACATTTCTTATATCGAACACTTTCGCTCCAAAAAGAGGATTAGGGAAACACAGGTACCGAAATCTGACTTTAACGCAGCCACGAAAGAATGTAGTGAGTTCTCTCATAAACCGATCTTGATTAGGGGCCTTTAGAGGATCCTCCATATCTTAACTGAGAGGAAACTAACGAACACTAATATTTGAATTTTTGTATAATAGTATAATAATCTATGTTGAGTACTTGGTTTTCCCTCAGAACTTCAATCAAAGAGGACTAGTAGGCAGAAGGTGGTGTCTCCAGCGGGCAGGGGCGGAATAAATAACTTACTCGGGCGATTTTTGCCTAAAATTTAAGGTGACAATCTACGGCCTACCGACTCGCTGCTGAGAGTCTCGTTCAGGGTATGAGACCGGGACCTCCGAAACTATAATTTCATCGCCTTTTAGTAATTGTGTAGTTTCAAGTAGATTAATGCTTAAACATCCGCCTGCTGTCGAGGCCTACCTACTGTCATGATTCGCCCGCTGTCGTGACTCGCCTACTGTCGAGGCTTGACTGTTGCCCAGGCTTGACTGCTGTCGAGGCCTGCCCGCTGTCGAGGCCTACCTGCTGTCGAGGCTTACCTGCTGTCCAGGCTTGACTGCTGTCCAGGCTTACCCGCTGTCGAGGCTTGACTTCTGTCGAGGCCTACCTGCTGTCGAGGCTTACCTGCTGTCGAGGCTTACCTGCTGTCCAGGCTTACCCGCTGTCGAGGCTTGACTTCTGTCGAGGCTTACCTGCTGTCCAGGCTTGACTGCTGTCCAGGCTTGACTTCTGTCGAGGCTTGACTTCTGTCGAGGCCTACCTGCTGTCGAGGCTTACCTGCTGTCCAGGCTTGACTGCTGTCCAGGCTTGACTGCTGTCCAGGCCTACCTGCTGTCCAGGCTTACCTGCTGTCCAGGCTTACCTGCTGTCGAGGCTTACCTGCTGTCCAGGCTTGACTTCTGTCGAGGCCTACCTGCTGCCCTGACCCTCCAGCTGTCAAGACTTGCTTACTGTTGCGACTTGCCTACCAACGTGGCTCGCCCCAAGTTCGGGTCGCTCCGCGATTACTTTTAGTTTGAACATGAACAACTAACAGTGACTAAGACAAGGTGGCGCAATGTAATGTAGATGATAAATTGGCTCAGGATAGTAACTAATAAATAGCTGTCCATATCAAATTCTACTCAAGGATCCAATTATTTTGAGGGAAATTTTGCCGCGCAGGCCATTGCCCGATATATGTATATTCTTAGGCGACCAGGCCCAGGCGACTTTAGTAGAAAATCATGCTTTGTACGAAAATTGCTGGTTAGGGCATGTAGTTGACGTTTTTCTGTGTGTTACTTACATTAATCATGGTGTTGATAGAGGAAGTAGCAGTGGCCCGGATGAAATGTTTACAGTGATCACTCATGTCTGTCTGGTGATGCCTTAATTCTAGGCTCTTCGGGTTACGACGATAGGTGCCCGGTTCTTTGAGACGCACTAACAGGGTGCCGACTGCCCTTACATCATCCGCGTAAGTACATTTTTGCCGTTTCAGGATAGGTTCCCCAATGTTTGCTATTGAAAGTCAATACAGATATATACCTAATTCAATGAGGGAGGGTATGTGTACCTAATTTCACATTACAGCTGTAGTAAGAAAGGAGAACATTCCTTGGACAAAGTTGCCCATAGGGGATGTGCAGCTCTCTATGGATATACCGAAGGCCTTGAAGTACCTGAGTTTGGGCGTTAATAAAATTTGACCACTGGTAACCATGTTTATTTTACCTCATTCGCGATTATCGCTAGTTCAATTTCTGTGATCTCCTGGAGACAGGTTGCCTGAATGTGATGCAAGGAAGTCTCTAGCGACTCATATACCAAATGTATAGATTGACTGCTTGGGAAAAGGTCCAAGAGGCGAACAATGTTTGAGGGTTTGTCTTTCGCTACCTTGCGTAATAGGCTACACTGTTGTTTTCCTGCATGGAGCTTGAAAGTTTTTATCACCACAATATTGTGGTCAACCGTATTGTCATGTGCAACAATACCTATTCCGGCTTGGTCAGACTCCCAAAAGCTTTGATACTTATGCCAAATCTCCTCTCCAGATATATGTTTTCGCAGCAAGTTAGAAGGCTCTGGTACAGGTGAGACGCTCTGGCTCTCATGGGAAATCTGGTGGAGTATATTCTCGCCTCGGGATGGGGCTGCGGGAGCTAGCAGATCTGCGGATGTTTCTTTGTCCACCGTAATACCTTGCTGGATGCTATCCGCAGAAAACACATCTTTAGGAAACTGGCTAGGAAGTGTTGTGTCACGCCACCCTCGCTTAGGCATAGTGTTCGCTAAACAAGAAAAAGAAAACTCAAGGAAGAATCATGCTTGTCTTTCCTTACCTATCAATTTTCGGTCGCACAGTGAATGGAAGTAAACCAAGAGCAAGTTCAAAAGAAATATAATCACTACCTCACTAACAAATTGTGTGCCATAAGATATTAACTAAGCTTACCATGCATTTCCTGCCTTTGTGATAAAATACCCTGGCATATATTTATTAGCAAAATACAAGACTCAGATAAGAAGGGCTTGTGATGCTAATAGATCATACATGCGTGGAATTTCATAGGGCTTGGTAGCTCCACCACATCCACCCACAGAACAACTATATAAGGAGTAGTAACATTGACCCCGTAAAATACATGGTTTGGGATGGAGTGGAGTTTTCGGAGTTTTCTGTACAATTGCAGGGGTATGCATAATTTTCCCGATAATGCTGTAATCTACAATAAAAATTAGAGGTTACATTACTACTGTGGGGATGTATCATTGCGTTGCCCCACAATCCCGTATATTACAAAGGTTGATTCCGCCCCACTAGTGGAGACTAAGAAAATCACCACATCTGCTAGTGGTATTGTTATCAATGCAGGTAATTGACGCATTGTTGCGCATGTTTTGCCACCAAATCTATCAATGATCCACAGCATAACGGTGTTCATAAAATGAATCTTCAAGAGTCTTGAAAAGCTTCATTACAGCGCTTCCTAAAATATATTTCCATTATATACATTTTGATATTATTCTGAACCCTAGATATAAGTTTAAACTAGCCCTCTTCAGTTAGTGATCTTAAGGAGCAGACCAACCATATCGCATAACATTGTGGAGACTAACTATAGTTATGTTAGATATATCTTGACACTCGGGTTTGAGCATATTGCTTAAGTACTATGGAAATATATTTCAGGAAGCACTGTAGCTTCAAATCCATCTAAGTCAACCATATATTCTAAAAGTTAATTTCGTGTAGAAAGAGACGGGACATGCTCTGGGAGTTCCTGGTTTTATGCCTCTCGTAGTAAAGCACAAGTAAACAGACAATATAGGGCTAAGCCTGCTTATATCCTTTAAGGATCCCAAGGGCAGTCCAGTATGGCATACTTCTCTTCTGGATGTTATAGAGATGATGTATAATCAACTCTTATATAGAATTTTACACCTGCTTTGCTTTGTCCGGTATAACGTACGCGGACCAGTGATATACACCCAGTGAAATTAAATGATTACAGGGGAAGGTTTAATTACCGGGATATAGTCCGGCAAGCAATATTCAAAACTCAAAACATCACTAGCTGTAATATTGGAGCCAGGCCTCGTCATCAGTGGCCTACAGTACAACTGTCGAGGAGCTCATGGAAAGACACAAGTTTAAGTGGGCCTCAAACCTTGAGTCTCAGAGCAGTGGAGGAGTTCAGCGAAATCTGATTTGACCACTATGATCTGTCTCAAGAAACTCTTTCACTTTTCCTCATGACTTATAATAGGCACAAGGCAGTTCATGCCTTGCATTTAATTCCAAGTTGTACTCATTCATCTTTAGCGAAACAACTATCCCGGGGTGGGACTGCTCATTCTCATTATAACATGCGTTCCACAATCTTGCCACCCTTAGGATCACCATTCCAAACGCCTTTGCCTCAGGAAGGGCACGAAATTCGCGCTGAGACGCCTACAATGTGTGAAGAAGCAACAGATATTGTTAAGTATGGTAATCCATTAACAATGGACCGCCTTTTCATTGGCCTAGAGCCTGCATGGAGCGGTATCAATGCCATTGAATTCACGGAACACATGCCTATTTCGTTCGTCAGTAAGCTTGTCACCACGAGGGGTAACATACCTAAAATGGATTGCTTCAAGAGAACTTCACATAGACACCTGGTCAACCTTAAAGAGGTATTTGTGGCTGAAGAATCTCTGATGCTCTTCTATGACAAGTGGGAAGGCATTTCACTCAAAGAAATTCAAGACCTTCGACCGGCTTTCCAGCTTGGAGAAGTTGAAGTGGCTACAATTTGCTTTCAGGTTTGTCGCTTGAGCCACCTGTAGCTTAAAAAGCTGACTGACTGGGGGAATAGATGCTTCAAGCGCTGCAATATATCCATGGTACTCTAGGCATAAACCATGGAGCTCTTTGTGGAGAAGATATCTACATCCAAGAAAGCGGTGACATCAAAATAGGTGAGTACCATCTCCTTCTCAAAGGCTAAAGTATCCTGGTCTGACAAATGGCAGCAAAAATTGGTGAAAGCATGGCTAGGGAGTTCCACCCACAAGAAAAGTCGAAGGATATCCGTTCGATCTTAAAGATTGCGCGACAGCTCCTTGGTCTCCGAGGCACCTCTGGAGGCAGAGGGACACTGGGCTTGCTAGTCCATGACTTTACAGCTGCACCACCCAATACAACCGTTGATCAACTTCTGCAGGTAGGTTCTCGTTTACCTATATAATATCCTCCAGAGTGGTTTCAAAGGTTGGCTGCTAAGCGGTGATCAAGCATCCCCTTATGAGATTCAATGCGGGACCATGGTGTCTCAGACCAATCAATCTCCTATGTACATTGGCTAGGACACGGTGCATTTCAACGTAGGGTTGAAGAGCACAGCGACTGGATAAGCGCCGAGATACTGTATTCGTGAACACGGCTAGTATGTTTGGGAATAACTTTGCCATCTCTTAGTGAATATCTACGGAGGATGGAAAATATAATAGTCTTCTAAATCCAGAGATGTTACCAATACACAGTAATGCATAGCAAAACAAGAGTAAAATAAGTCCATATATTGACTCCAGTATGATCACCTCGAGAACTTCCACATAGTGCAGAAAGTAATGTTGAAATTCCATTAAACCTACACAACAGACCAACATCTACTGTACATGTTGATACACAATATAGTCGGACGTTTTTGGCTAAGCTAGATAGACGGCAAATAGAACAGAAGACATGAACTTAAAGAACCTGCATGTTGTAGTGTTGACCTCCTAGATTACCAACATTGTTAACTGCCTAATAATCCCTCTTAATATTACCCTGTTTCAGCTCCTGATGGAAAGATTAGATGGTGAGACAGTAGTAAATGGAATTAATAACATATAAATTAGGCAACCAACAATCAAGACTAGGAGGAGATATGGGTGCTTACTTAAATCTATTGTTCATTATATCAATAACAATAACCCTTATGCCTTGGCTATACCTTCTCCTATCCCAGTTTATTCTTAAAATTCATCTGTTTTGTATGTTCCAAGTTTGCCTTCTTCTTGGATAATATGGAACTTGCACCAAATGCCGCCCCTGTTAGCCAGGCATGTGATGGTGAACATGCGGTGCCGCAAAGCACGAGCGGTACAGGACTGGGGGTCAATCGCAAAGCTACAAACTTGATAGTGGATACCCAATATGAAAGCATGCTTCGTGAGCTTGCTGATATTCACTGGAGCTTCAACTTTCTTTCTAGTTTCGCTGGTTGGATATTGCTGGCTGGCTATCTCGTTATTCCCGGGACATTCACGACGCTTCAAAGATCCGATACCATGAAAAATGGACTGGCCGGGAATAATGCAGAGAGGGCTATCGTCGATACTATCCAAAATCCACCGTTGGTGGGCATAGCATGCTCTTTGCTTGCTATCGGCGCAGGCCTTATGGCCTTTCTCTTTCTTCGCTGGAGACATAATTACTTGTGGCTTATTAACCGGCTATTTATGTAAGCTTTGGGAGGCATGAGAGTGTTGTTGCTAACTGATTGAACAGACCGACCTCGCTGAATGCAGCTGCTGGACTTCTCACGACAATGGTTAATATTTATACTGCGAAAGATGGAAAATGGTCCATCATGTCTCTGTTAACAGTGATTGTAACCGCCCTTTCTTCAACTGCTTCGCTGGCCTTGGCTCTTTTTTATAAATTCTGGAAAATGGCGACAATTAAAAGAGAGCATGACATGGAACAGGAAGCTGGCTGGCGCTTAGTCTATCCTTAATGAGTTCCAATACGAGCGAATAGATCTAAAGATGGGCACCTGCTATATCCAACAGGGTGATGTATCAAATTTGCCCTGTGGGTGGGAACTATTTTGCCCAACTTCCAATAACATTTAGCTTGATGGAAGACATTGCTTAACTTGAAATAGTTAGCGCTACTGAGGCCGCAGGGTGTGAGAATACTAGAGACCTTCTATCCCAGTATAAATTGCAATCACTCTGTTGTAGATTCTATTTTCAAAGTACATATGAATAATGTAGACAAACAAGGGTGGCAATCAATGAGCAGTGTCCTAGGTCATGTTGTGCCTTTATTACCAGTAGATGCTTTTTCGCCTCTCCGATCTGACGAGCGCTCGCAAATCTGGGGTATGATATCCTCCATTGTCTCCTGGATTGGGAGAGGAAAGCACGAAGTCTATTTATGTAAGTTTTAGATGATGGACGAGGAACTTGATTGGGCATACCAGGTTAGCCAATGTATGAAGCCATTGGCTCCGTGAGGATGAATTAAGAATATGCATCTGCCCAGTTTTCCGGACTTGAACAGCCAGGAAGACTTCGGATTCGCATTCACGCCAGAACTCTGCTGCCTTTTTGAAAAGGCCCCTCTTACGTCTATGTCGTTGTTGCGCCTTTGCTTGAGCAGTCTCTGAATGACGCTTCTTGACCCACGAAGATTTCTTGGACATCACGTAATTTTTTGGCGAGATGAATTTATTTGAAAATCTTATAATTCAAGATGTTGAGGCCGTCTTAATTTATAAAAGCCATCTGCTTCGCATGCTGACATTACCACTGGTGGTATTTTTGTTGGTCTCTTCCTGACCTGGACTGCTCTATCCTTGCCAAATTCCTGGTGGTTTTGTTCTGTTACAATGAATGCCCCATGAATTTAAAATAAAATACCGGAGGTAGCAATCAAAATATGACTAGTGTCATATTTTATACATTAAGAAGTGGGAGGGGGTAACAGAACTCAAGCTGTAATTTATGTTTTAAATTCTACTGAACATTGTTTGTTTGTATTTTTGGTGTTTTATTCTGATCTGAAAGCAGGAACCGATCCAATGATGGGCCGGCCAGCCAGCAGGTGGGTTGATGCTGATCATTTGACTTCTGCCCCAGGACCATGATTTTGCAATATTCAGCTCCTAGGACTGCTCATTTTCTTTTTGGACACTTTTAACCATTATGGCCACTTTCACCACCCTCTCTTTCAGACGCTGATTTCGGCTCCCCCATCCCCTATAAAATCTAGCCTGTTTTCTTGCTTTCCACGATGCTATTATCCCAACCTGTCCTCTCAGCGTCCGCCCGCTGCCTCTCTTTCCCTCGTTGCCCACTGTATGGTGTCATTTGCATTAATAGCCCGAGTCACCTTCTTTTCCTGTCCTCCTCTATTCCTTATTTATAATTTTCGGTCATTTTTGGGACCTGATCCCCTAAACATGGTCTTTCTCACGGTCGGTGTCCCGGTAAGTGTCACCATGCCCCTATGCTTCATCCGCTCATTTTTCGTCTTGGAGACCGATCGGAAGCACATGACTGGTTTGGATACCATTGCATATTTTGACGTGAGTATATCCTCTTCAATTTTATGATTGATTCTCACTCTAGCCCAGTTGCTCCATAACATTGGTGAGAAACTAGAGCGGATTGGACGATTGAATAATATACAGAGAATCGATCTGCTGGAGCAGGCTGAGGCTGGGGGATCTATTGGATGGCACATGCTCTGGACTGAAGAAAAGATTATCTCTTCAACATGCTCAGCCAGTTGTGAGGACATGTACTGGGTCATGGTCAGCATAGTGGTGCGTTCGCTTTCCTTAGGTATCGATGGTAACTCATTATGGTCACAGGAGCCCGACCAAGGTGTAAATGCAGACATTCTGACCAAGCATGAACTTCGCCAGGTTAGGCGGTCAAATCTGAGGTGTACTGGTATGATCCTAACACTGTACTAGTTGGTTAAAGACCTCAGAATCGATATGAAGGAGTTGGGAAAGCTGGAGAGATTCCAGGTGGCCGACCTTTTTAGAAGGCTCAAAGCTCTTGACTATGTGAGAAGCTTTATGATACAAGAAGAGGTCGTCAAGGATAGCTCTTTGGGTAAAGGCTGTTCTTGCCCTACTCTTCATATCCTTCTCATTCAGACTGTCTAACTATGCTGTCTTGTTGTAGGAACTGATAGTACAAACCTCACACAACCCACCCCACCTTCTTCCTCAGACCCCTCCCTGCAGACTAGCGATGCCATACCACTGTCCAGTCTCCCGAACTATCCCCCAGTTATCAGTGACGACTTCAAAAGTTTATTGAATTATAATGACAGCTTACAACGGAACGTGTCTTCTCCCCTGTTGCTGAATACAATCCGTATTGGTGCCTGTTGCCCCGCCCCTGCCGCCGTACCCACGGGATCTATGGGTACAACCCCTGGGCTCTCGCCCTCTACGTCTAATGTTCATTCGCCCCAAGTCAATGAGCCATCCACACCATCGGGTACTGTGAACTCTCCCCAACAAGCAGGTATCGAGCTTGATCCATACAAAAGGTATAATTATAGTTTGGGTAATTACCAAGCAGGTGAAGTACATTCCCCAGGGTCGATGAGTAGTTGGCCAAGGCAACGACGGACAACACTGGATGCGATAAACTTAAATACGACAATATTTCAGTTGTTACGGTCGTGTAAATTTGCGAAAAAGGGCACGCCACTTGTGCCACTTAGCGAGACGGAGATCCAAGAAATCCTTGAGGTGGAGCCGCTATTTTTCACACAGGATCCTGTTGCTGTGCTAGAACCTATCTTGGAAAAGTGGGAAATTAATCTGTCGCATAATCTGCACGGACTTGGACTTCCCCTTGTATGGAAAGGTATACAGGGAGCGGTGAACTACCTCCGAGTGCTTGATAGCCAAGAAAAGACGAAGACTCTTCAACCTATCACTGAACGCTTTGCACTAATCTTCTTTAGCCTCAACTACTATGAGCTCTGTAAACACCCGGACAAATATTGCCCCGGCTTCAAGCCGAACGTGAGCTCTGTTCTTAATTGTATACTCGCTGCCTACCCAGACGATCCCCGTCTACCAAACAGCTTGCAAAGCCGCCGCAATAAGATTTCCGGTTTTTATGCCAGACGTGGAAATTGGTGGTGGATGGTTGGAGCGACACTGGGAGTTGGCCTCTGGCTTGTTCCAGACGATCTGATACGTACCATGTTCGTGGTTTAAAATACCCACAGTGGCTCAGCTAACGTACATTCTTAGGTCTAGTAAGGGATTTAAAATTGACCAAATCCATGCTCTCGCTACATTATCTTTGAATACGCGGCCAGGAAGCGTTCGCATGCTCCATTCGCTGGAGCCTGTGGTAAAATACATCTTGCTTGGAGAGATCAAGAGCAATCTTTGGCAGGCAATTTTGGATGGTAGCCTTCTCGAAAGAGATGAATTAATATGTGCCTACGACGAAGATCAGAAGGCCCTGGCGTCCCAGCGAATTGAATTTCCCTGGAGGGTTGAGGATACCATATCCTCTGCGGGCAAGAAAATGACAGAGTTTCTGGCTTTCCTACACACGCACTAATTTCTGAATGGAAAGGATTTTGCAACACCATTTTCATCCAGTTGTGCATTTCTTAGCATGGTGGCTTTTCTTTCAAATTTTTTGGTGCTATTTTGAAACCGGTTATATTGATTGGGTGATAACACTGGCTTTCTGAGACAAATTGCGTCGCCCCTTTTAGGGATGAATGTTCCTATGAACACTTGGGCTTCATCTTTGTTGCTCATCAGCTCTATGGTGCCAACCTTCGTGCTGTTGTTTTGATGCTACTACAATGACCCTGGTTTCAGTGAATTAGGGTAAGAAATATTTCGCAATTCCTATAGAACTTACTGAACAGTTAAAGCAACTCCTTCAGGAGATTAATGCTGCACAATCTATTATTGTTATGGTTGGTCCTGTCAAGATGAATGGATGTGTCTTTTCTTTAGGCCTGAAGGGATTGGGGATTGCACCTTTCTTATAAGGTTCATCCCGGTTTAGGCAGTCTGATTTGCTCAATAACCTACCTTATGAGGGGAGCAATCTTCCGACCTCAATATATGATACATTCACAAGGAACACTGTCTTCAGGTGAACTGATTTACATGTATCACACTAAGGCTATTAATAAACACAACAAGGTGTATGCATTACTTCACATGAGCTCTGATAACCTTAACAAATCTGGCCTATCACACAACTACAAGCTCCCATAGCACACACTGTTACAGCGGATCATTGCATATATTCTCCCAGAAATCCATTCAGTGGAGACTTGGCAACATACGGAGTTATCTATAATGAAAGGCAAGGGATATATATTGGATTAAATAAATTTAGCCAAAGGCGGTAGTTCTCAATATAATATATAATATATGCAGATCAACTTCAATTCTACACTGATGCCACTAAGTTATAAGAGCGCATGGGGTACTCAATAGACATTCCAAGCTTCAGCAAAGTCCATTCAGGATGATGACACTCTCTGTCTTTTGCAGGGGGTTCAAAGCCAAGGTCATATAATAATCCTCTCAGATCTTTTCACTTCCAACTAGCGCATTGAGGTTTGTGACTAATGCTCACATTTGCTACTAGAGGTTGAGTTGTGACCAACTGTGTTTTCTAGTGACACTCATCCCAGACTCTCCTTTTAAATAGAGACTAGAAATAGAAGAAAGCATATTGGAAACTGCTAAGTGAAACACAAAAGAAGGGTCAATAAGAGGTAAAATTATAATATTCTCCTGGCAACCTAGAAGACTGCCTCTCGGATCAACAGCTTGACCACCGCCTCATGACCAAACACCGCTGCCCATGAGAGCGGGGTCCGGCCATACTCATCATCCATCGCCCCAACGTCGGCGTTCTTCTCCAGAAGCAGCTTCACCACCGCCTCATGACCATTCCCCGCTGCCAATGAGAGCGGGGTCCGGCCATACATATCCTTCGCCTCAGTGTCTGCATTCTTCTCCAGCAGCAGCTTTACCATCGCCTCATGACCATTCCCCGCTGCCGATGAGAGCGGGGTCCGGCCATACATATCCTTCGCCTCAGTGTCGGCATTCTTCTCCAGCAGCAGCTTTACCACCGCCTCATAGCCATTCTCCGCTGCCCATAAGAGCGGGGTGCGGCCAGACCTATCCTTCGCCTCAGTGTCGGCATTCTTCTCCAGCAGCAGCTTCACCACCGCCTCATGGCCATTCTCCGCTGCCCATGAGAACGGTGTCCGGCCATGCATATCCTTCGCCTCAGTGTCAGCATTCTTCTCCAGCAGCAGCTTCACCACCGCCTCATAGCCATTCTCCGCTGCCCATGAGAGCGGGGTCCGGCTATACATATCCTTCGCCTTAGTGTCGGCGTTCTTCTCCAGCAGCAGCTTCACCACCGCCTCATGACCATTCCCCGCTGCCCATGAAAGCGGGGTCTGGCCAGACCTGCCCTTCGCCTCAATGCCTGCATTCTTCTCCAGTAGCAGCTTCACCACTGTCTCACGACCAAACACCGCTGCCCATGAGAGCGGGGTCTGGCCAGACCTACCCTTCGCCTCAATGCCAGCATTCTTCTCCAGCAGCAGCTTCACCACCGCCTCATGACCAAACACCGCTGCCCATGAGAGCGGGGTCCGGCCAGACCTATCCTTCGCCTCAGTGTCGGCATTCTTCTCCAGCAGTAGCTTCACCACCGCCTCATAGCCATTCTCCGCTGCCCATGAGAGCGGGGTCCGGCCAGACCTACCCTTCGCCTCAATGTCGGCATTCTTCTCCAGCAGCAGCTTCACCATCGCCTCATGACCATTCCCCGCTGCCGATGAGAGCGGGGTGCGGCCAGACCTATTCTTCGCCTCAATGTCGGCATTCTTCTCCAGCAGCAGCTTCACCACCGCCTCATGGCCATTCTCCGCTGCCCATAAGAGCGGGGTGCGGCCCAAACTATCCCTCGCCTCAGTGTCGGCATTCCTTTGGAGAAGGGCTGACATAGATCTCCAAAGCCCGAAATACGCAGTGAGGTGCAAACCTGTTATCTTATTTTCACCATTATAATATCCATTATATAGCATAGCCTGCCCACAAGCAGATGCTTTGGCCGCACTCTGAAGAAGATCCAAAATCAACCTTTCCCCTTCAACGGAAGACTTGCCGGCGTGGTGTCCCCAGTATTGTGCGGCATAGGAATAAAAAACATTTGATTCTAATCTCTCTGCCAAAGCGTCTTTCGTTGGGCTGTATCCAGTTTCAAAGTCTTCAAATAACAAGTAGGTGACACATATTTCCGTGATATAAGTGTGAACATCGGGAAACCAGGTCTGCCAGGTACGCTCAAAGTATTCCTGTGTTGTATAGTGAACTAAGCGGATGATGCCACTCTCGCTGTCAATGATGACCAAGCCAGCGCAAACAGAGACTATAAGTCCGATATCTGCAATATTCTCCCTATCGAGTTCAGGCTCACCCACTTCAACAGCTATGGCGTGTTGAAGTTCTAAGGATGTCAGGTGCCTCTTGGAACACACAATCCATGATAAGACCTGCTTGGCAAGCTCTCGGTGTTCTGGCACCTGACCTTTAATTCGTACCATAGCTTGCTTATAAGCGTGATCCAATGCTTTGGACTTCTTATTATTATTTGGGACCTCGGTTTTTATCTCTAACTCTCTAAGTGCAAGCTTTATCGCCTTAGTTGTTGTCTTATAGACTAGAGAATCAATATAGAGCTGCGCGAGAAGAAACCTAGTTAATATTAGACAGCTTAATCAATATCCTTAGGATGGTACATACATTCCATCAACTGCCTTAGCGATCGCGTTCTTGATCTCCGCCTGGAGAGAATGGTGCTCTAGTACTGAGGATGGGAAATTCCGCAGTTTCTCATCAAGATACTTCCGCACGTCTGTATCTCTGGCACGAATCTCAAGCTTGATACTTTTGTTAAACTTCTCCTCAATCTCCTGGATAAATCGCGATGTTGCGAAAATGTTCGCCCTAGCCTTCACCTGAAGACTGAAGATCTCCCGCAGGAACATTTCTCGGCCTTCGTGAGAAACCTGGCATTCGTCCATTGCATCGATGATTATGAAAGTCCTTGAATAAAGAGCTGTGACGCGGTACAGTATACTTAGAAGTTCATCTAGTGAAGGACGAGTTTTTTTAGGTTTATGATGGCCATAAAGGTCCTTCACAATTTCAGGTATAGAAGACTGGCCCTGCACTAATTGCTTCAATAGGCTCTCAATGAGATTAGCGGCCCTTTGTTCGTGCTGTTGCCGGAAGTTGCAATATAGGTATGCGATGCCGACGGCAGGGTCATTTCCGAAACTAGTGTGGAGATGATGCACAACAATAGATGTTATGATTGTTTTACCGGCTCCTGGCATGCCTGGACAGAATAGAGTCTGTTTGCTTTGTGTAACCCACTTCCGGAATTCATTTGACTTCAGCAACCATTCGCCAGTTCCTTCGTGTCGTCGGGCGAAAAAGTCATTTTGCTGAGGAGCATAATTTGCCGGGGTAAGCCAATCAATAACCGCTTGATACTCCTGGTCTTGTTGATGGGAACGAAGTTCATTGACGGTATTTGATACTCCTTTGAGTTGATTCTCAATTCCTAGCAGTACTACAACTTGTTAGAAATGCACAGCCCTGAACATAATATTTGTATTATTCCTGTCAGCTAATTACTGCCAGTAATAATTCTGCTCGCAGCAGTCAGCATTAAAATCAAAACCTACCGGCGCCACTCATATACTGATATTGAAAGACCAAGCAAATGTTTAGAAGGTTGATGGAACCTTACTTTTAATTGTAGGCATCTGCTCCACTTCCTGCGCCGGCACCAGTAAGAGGAGTTCCTTGGCAAATGCCGCTGCCACAGCCGCTGCATGCTCCTGCCAATCTTTGTTCTTATGGGAGTCCGCGTAGTCGCAGATACCTCGAATGACAATGCAGGGGAAGTCATTCATCAGTCCTGCTGCCTCCATTTCAAAGCAAAGTACCTTGCCACCCAACTTTGCATTGATCTCATCACGGAATGCTGCATCTTTAACAACTTGATTGCCTGAGGCTATTAGGCCGTAATGCACACGCATATCCCGCGGCTTTCTGCGGATGATTTTTGTCTGATCACAGTTGATGCAAGGATATATCTCATCATCCTCCTCCTCTCCACCCTCCTCCACAGCATTGTCGGAAGTGCCGACGTCGTAAATATCAGGTTCTTGGATATGATAGCAATCTGGCCGAAAAAGAACATCTTTCATTGACGCAGACTTTGTATACTTTGGTGCCAACCTAGGCCAGTTCTTCTTGAGCTCCTCAAGATACTGAGGTACCTTAGAACCTTTCATTGTATGTTCCTTCTCTAACTTTGTCAAGGCAGTTAGCAGCTCAGTAGGAGGACGGTTTAATGCACCTGTTCGTTTGAAAGCTCCCCCTTGTTGCATTTTCCCAAAGTCCCACTGTACAACTCCGCCAAACCCATCCATTGGTGTGCTGACAACAACATCACCAAGCCTGACAGACTTGGGAGCACCCCCACCGATACCGACCATTAAGCCAAATTTGATCGATGGGAAAGTAGAGGTCATCCGAGTCGCGACCGTTGCTGCATTGTTGTTACCGATCTCGCCTTTCGGTAAACAGGCTACAACCACGTTATGCACGCCAACACGCCCGAGTGTATAGGCATTGTGGTCATTGGGTTGCCTAGGGAGATCCTGATGCGTTTCATCGAGCATCGCCGCAGCTGCGATTAACTCCTTAGGCAGCGCACAGATCCATCCCACAGTGTAGTCATTATGAGACCTGGACTCGGTAGCCATCTCTGGAGATATGGCGAAAGGATGAGATAGCTTGTAACGCAAGGATTTTAAGAGGGCGCAGGCGGACTTGGAAAGCAATCGGCGCCAGGCAGGTGTGTTCAGATGGAAAGGCTTCTCGGCAAAGTTAGATAGTTAATACTTGCTTTCAGTGAATCTAACAGAAAACATTCTTCTAACAAGCAGGAGAGTTGTTGGCAAAAGTAAGAGGCGTACTTAGACCCAGAACCCGTAGAATGAAGTAGGAGGATGATATGAGTTCGAGATGGTGCTGCAGTGTTCAGCCGCAGAGCGGGGCATTGGCACCTTGGAAGACAACAGAAGCTAGGCAAGCCACATCAACAGTTGGTTATCTGCATAAAACACGACAGGGGCGCTTCATGCATTTTAAATCTGGCTATCATGATACCGCACTTGCACCTTCATATCAAAATAATTCAGAAGATATACACAATGATACAAGCCAAACAGAGACCATGCGGAACATTGCTTTTCTATAAGTTAAAGAGCGAGTGTACGCAAAGTAGGACTGTTGGCAGTGCTAAGCCCAAAGTAGTAATCATATCTAGCTAGCTAGGCAGCAATTTAACAGTCCATATTTAGGACACTCGAGCTAATTTAGGCAGGTCAGGATATAGTCATTTGAATCATGTGATATTACGGAGCGCAGTCAAATTTCAAAATATACTTTGATTTCCATTATCTCCAGAGTCCACTTTGCTTATTACTTTCTTGTCTCCTGTTTTCCATTGAAACGTATGAACCCGAGGCAAACAGCCGACACAGAGCCCGAGCGAGGCACGAAGTTCGCCCGTAAGAAATAGGTGTATGTACAATAGAGATGCAATGATTGTTATAGTTGTGGCGGCCTGTATATCGCTTTAAATTTGGGAGAGGTCAGAGTAAATGAAACCATCCATCTATCCTTCCATCCACTGTATTCGATACCAGGAAGTTGGCTAACAATGACATTCTGAGGGAAGGCACATGTCATGCCCGAAGCCGGATTCCATGGATGGCCTGGGTATGATTTTTGAAAGCAGGCACACTAGAAGGGATGAAATCGACGCTTCTCATACCGCATAATCCACAGCATTGTGTGCCAGAATCGAATGCTGCGAGTTCTTCCCTATGCAGATTCTCCACATGATCCCAAAGCTTATTAATTTTGCTCTTCTTCTTTTCACGATTAAGAGGTGGTAGCCTCTGGTCTGCCAGGCAAAACGGACACTGTAATGGGTCATATTTCTCTGGGATAGTGTTGACTGTTGGGGATGCTGGAGATGGTTGCGGTTGGGGCATGGTCGCAACTGCCGCTTGCCTCCCCCTACGGGGTGCTTCCTTCCGACACTGCCACCGGACTAGAAGGCGAATATACCTCAACCGACGAAGAAAAGCGTCTTCCTCTGTCTCCGCGGGCGGGGTGTAGAAAAGTAAGTCAACGAGCTCCGCGCGTTCCGGAATCTGGTAGTGATGGGGAGAGCGGTCCAGGACCTCACTCTCCTGTGGCTGCGGGCCATTCTCATACCGCTGGTTGAAAAGAACGGTGTCTGTATTTCGGAAATGCCGTCGTCGATTCATCTCCTTTGCCTTCTGTCGCAGTTCAGCGAGCTTGCTATTCAGTTCCGCATCCGCTCGCCTCTTTTTCTCCCCGATTTTGGTACCCTTAGCTCCTTTCACGGTTCGGTACTTGCTCTGACGGATAGCCTCAGTGAGAGATCGACAGACTCTCCGCAGGCGCCGAACTTCAGGGTCCCTAGCGATGCGGCGTTTATGTTTGTCTGTCAAACCCAGAGGAGCGGTATTGTCTGCCAGGAGGGTTGCCGATCGGAACTCCCTCTGCACCGCTTCATTTGATGGCCGCTGATGGAACGCAGCGGCAGTGTCAAAGTCTACTACTTCATTCAAGTAATATTTAACAGCATTAGATTCATGATCAGCAACCTGATCCCGAACCGAGGCTGGCGCCTTGTCTGTTCCGAGTATGTTGGTTAGTTGTCGCTCTTGATCTAGCGGGAGAAAGGATCGTACTGTTGATAGCGTTGATGCCGCCACGCCGAAGCACTTTCTGGGTTAGGTTTTGCTCCTCGCCAGACTTCTCTCCTGTCCGTTTGAGATTGCGGCTCCAAGTTTGGGACTTGAGCGGTTGGGAATCTGATGTTCTGTAACCATCTGAGGTGTGTTCTGGCTCACGAAAGATCGGCTTATCTAAGTATTCGCTCTTGACCTTCAATTTCATGCCCCTTCGATGTGGAGGGATCGGGAAAGTGTATATGTCCTCTACATCTCTATGATCTGCGGCAAAAATGCGGTCGTGCCAGGCGAGAGCCAGGAGCTGTGACAGTAAGTCAAAGATCAGGTTTTCTTCATGCTCGATCACAAATCTCTTTCTATATCGGGTAAGTAACATGGTGGCCAATGATATTGAGAACTGTTGCTTACATTCGAGGCTTGCGATCCTCTCCCTTGGTATGGAGTAGAGTCACAGTGGCAGCGAGGATGTTCGGGCACCCGGGCACAGGGTTTCTGACTATGCAGAAATCAACATGTCTCCAGAGAATAGTGCCAGTGTTATTATCACCAGCAAGATAGCCATCATCTGTCACGCTAGAACAGTCTGACATGGAATCAACGTCACTCTCTAAGTCAGAAAGAGAACTGTCAGAAGATACTTTATCGGATATATCGTCGCCTAGCTCGCAAAAGCCATTACTCTGGTTTGTTTCATAGCCAGAATCGCTGAGAGAGCCCCGGTCTTGACTGCCAGATTGTAGCAGCAACGCCTCATCGTCAGTCGCCTTGCCTTCAGTGAAAACAGGCGCGCTGCCGTCCGGTTGAATGTTGATAGGACACCGAGTATCAAATAGCGAAACCGCTCGACAGGCAGTAATGCTGGATAAATTAAGGCCCGCCATATGGTAGAGGCGTTGCTTCTCATCGGCGAATACTGCATCGCAGTGAACAATATGAGTGGTCTGGAAATGGAGAAGGTCGACTGATTGCTCGGTAGGCTTAGGTAGTGGGTGTTTGCGCAGGCCCATCTCCTTACTGACAATATTCATGTACTATATTTAGGTTAGAAAGATTGCTCATTTCAGGCTTAGGAACAAGTGCCGCTTACATTGATACAGTCTTTCTCCATCAATTCGCCCATTGTCTTCAAATTTGTCATGAAGTAAAGCCTCTTGAGAGTCCTCCAATAGGTTGCGAGGGCGCTGTGAGCTTTGATTGAGCCATGAAAGTTTACCTTGATCCAGTCAAACCAGGCCTTGACATCGGCTGAAGTTAGGTTTTGAAGCAAGGCATCCGGGTTGAGGCGAGCCTCCGAGCAGAACCTAGAGATGATCAGCTCAGGACCAGGAACAAGCTGGCAACCCTTACCGAAGCCATTTCCCTCGTACAGAGGCAGACGATATATTTGTTCTCGGGGCACACTGAGGGAGTGTAAATCCATTGGCAAGATGTGCTTTCCGGCGCTCAGCATAGTAGAGATAGGACTTGCGGCCCTGATTCTTTTCCTGTCGCTTGGTGCTACTCCGAGGAAGGCCTGAGAATGTCATTGTGTAAGATGCGAGCAAGTAGAAGTGGATAGAATGTTCAGAGAATACATTGCGGCCATTTATTTAGGTCCTGGAGGGTGAGATATTTATGGTCACTGTGGTCTTAGCATAATGTCTCCTCTGTTCAATGTGTACATACTGTGGCACTAGGCTTCATCTAAGTGGGTCCACCTGCGTGTGTAATACCGTTACAAAATGAATGGCGTATTTTTGGCCGCCCGAAGCCACGTAAAGCGGCAGGCATAGTTTCCCTTTTTGGTATAGTTCCCGGGGCCAAAGTCGCCCAAAACGGCCACAAGGATGGCCGAATATGGCGATTCCGGCCCCTAAAGGTAGATACTATATGTAAATATTATAATAGTAACTCTAGTAGCTATATTAGCTAAAGAAATAGTATTATCTTAATCTATATCCTGTATATACTGAGCATGGGGCTGTAATATATTATATAGATTTATAGAATTAAAAAATAATAATAAATTATACTAGTAGTATCTAGCTACTTTTTATTTTTATTAATCTATATAATATAAATATATATACTGGATATACTGTATATATACTAAAGATATATCTTTATATTTTATATATATTTCTTAATACTTTATATTATTTTAGTTTCTCTATATAGAAGAAATAGTCTTCTCTAAACTAAATATATTCTTTTAAAATATCTTATTTATATATTATTTTAGCCTAATATATTTTTAGTATATACTTATTATAGAACAAAAATAAATAATACTTAAGTACTGTAGCTAAAAATAAGATTTTCTATTCTATAAAATTATTATCTTAAAAATAACTACTTTTATTAATACCAGTATACTTTAGTATATATTACTAATCTTTAATTAGTATTTTAGATATCTTAGAAGTAATCCTAGTAAGAATCTATAATTTCTACTTATTCTTAAGATAGTGCTTAAGCTTAGAATATATAGAGTATAAATAATCTATATACTAAAGTAGTTAATCTTTATTCTCTATATTCTATAGCTTATTTATTAATAAATAAGCAGTATACTTACTACTAAATTTTTTTTAGAAATTTTATTATAAATAAGTTCTGTAAAAGATAATATAATAAAGTAAATATTTATACTATTCTTAGCTTAGATCTAATATATATAAATAATTACTGAGATCTATATATATTATTAGCTTATAATATAATTTAGTATTATTATTAAGATATATTAAATCTATTTCTAGTTTATTTTTTATATATATT